TCGCACCTCCTCCCAACACCCTTATCTGCTGCTACACCTCCTCCCAGCAATCTCCCTTGCCACTGCAACCCCTCCTTGCTACTGCGCCCTTACCAGCTCCAAAACCCCTCCTTGCTGCCGCATCTCCTTCCAGCAGCCTACCCTACCGTCGCAACCCCTCTTAGCAACCTCCTTTGCTGCCACACCACTTCCCAACACCCTTATCTTCTGCCACACCTCCTCCCAATAGTCTCCCCTACCGCTGCAACCCCTCCCAGCAACCTCCTTTGTTGACTCCAGCCTTCCCTGCATAATCCTTGCTAAGGCCCTTCCTCCCAACAGCCTCCATAGTGCAGCCATAACCTCTCGACCACCCTTACACCGGCTGTCAAGTCGGAGTTCACCACATTCGCCCTCATCCTAGTGTCCTGCCTTATGATTGTAGCGTTTACTTCCTGTTTTGGAGAGTCGTCGTTCCAATCAATTTGAATTTCAGTAATAATTCAGTTTCTATTGTGGTTTGGGTGAACTTTGGTATCAATATTTGACTGATAAAAAGAAAAGACAAACCAAAACTAATAAAACCGAATAATAATGGGTAAAGTAAAATGCAAGGAATATTCTTTAATATTTTATCTACCACAAACTAACCACCTTCCCTATGATGATGGCTTTGGATCCGGCAATAATAAACTAGTAAAGTTTTGAAGCTGAGAAAGGAAAATTTTCTTCTGGAAACATATTAAGCCAATACAATAGGGGTCCATGTTTAAATTATAAAGCAGGTGCACTGAAAAATGTGCAAAAAAGAACAAGAAGCCAATACAATAGGGGTCCATGTTTAAATTATAAAAATTTCAGGTGCACTGAAAAATGTGCAAAAAAGAACAAGAATGCATTTATCCATAAAATCAGAATAACATATGTAACAAAGAAAATAATTTTACCGACTTACATATAAAGCAATGAGATGGATTAGAAAAAAGAAGTAAAACATAATTCATATCTGACATAGGAGGGTAAGAATCATAAAGCCAATTCATATATATTTGGGCATTATGTTGCAAAATAAAAATAATTAATGCACTTAAACCCAATGTCATGAGAAGTTTGTGCATCTAAAATCAAATATCAAGGCATGAAAATGAAAAATATGTTGTGAAAGTCAAAACCAGAATACAAACATAAGCTTTCATGTTTCTCCAAAAATTCAAAACAATATTTGCAAAAAAAAATGAAAGAAATTTCCATATAAAGCAAATTGCAACAATGCAATAATACTAGAAAAAGAGATGAAAAAAATTTACCACTCAATGTGACATTAAACACCTAAAAGAAATAAAATGCGGCAAACAAAACAAAAATTTTGAAATACTTCATGATGCTAAAAATGATGAAAGGCATTTATATATTCAGGTCATTCCCCAGCTACAATGGACTAAATTGAAATTGCAATCATTGGAAGTATGAGTCAAGTTATTGAATGCCAATTATATGCTAGTACAATATTATTTGGTAGAAATTCTAATAACATGATTTTGTTATATTGAATTTCAACAAATTGCTTGTGTTCTAAAAATTCAAAGGCAGGTGATTCAAAAGATTGGTAAATTCTATATTTTATTTGGTCATATGCCATGTAAGAGTTTGACTGTCTCTTTTAAAGTACTCTAGACCGCTCATGTGATGTATTCCATATGCAGGTAATTTGGCAAACAGATCAATTGAAGTTCCTTTCTAAACTAATATTTTGTTGGAATGCATTTACGTATATTGTTTGCATTCAACGAAGTTAAAGAAATTTGATTAAAAATATCTATAAATTTTATATTTTACATAGAAAAAATCTGAAATCTATATTTTCAGGTCATGCCCGCACTAGATTGACCTATATCAAACTTGCAAATGATTAAAAATATCTATAAATTTTATATTTTACATAAAAAAAATCTGAAATCTATATTTTCAGGTCATGCCGGCACTAGATTGACCTATATCAAACTTGCAACCATTGGAAGCAGGAGTCAAATACTAGTCTAACTGAGAGTGTAGTTATTTAATATCCATTCTATGCTACTAATATATTATTTTGGTAGAAAATTCTAAGAACCTTATTTTTTGGATTGCATTCAGACAAATTGTTTGCATTCTAAAAGTTCAAATGTGGGTTATTCAAAAGATCTGTAAATTATATATTTAATTTGAACATATGCAATATAAGAGTTTGACTATACCTCTTAAAATACTTTAGGCCACTCATGTGATGTATATCATATGCAAATAATTTGGAAAACTGAACCGACTGAAGCTCTTTTCAAAAGCTAAGAAATTACATTTAGGTAAATTGTTTGCATTCCACAAATTTAAAGCAAGTTGATTCAAAAGATCTATAAATTCTCTCTCTTTTATTTGGTCATATGCAACGAAAGCATTTGACAATGCCCCATTTACCCACTCATGTGATGTATATCATATGCAGAAAATTTAATCAATGTTAATTAATGAAAATATTTATTAGATTTTAAAACGACTATATAGTTAATAATAACTTCAATTACATCTAACGTTGTGCATTATATAAGTAATTAAAAAATATTTATTAGATTTATTTACTTTTATTTATTTTAGGAAAAAACTTAAATCGAAATCTCACCAGAACTGAGGTGATTGTGCCTTGATGTGGGCCTCACATTATGTAAGATATAAGCCTTGCGTGGTATCCAATGAGGCGTAAGCTTCAATTGCAAAATTTTAAAAATAATGTTGACACGTGCCTTATATTGCACAATTTTAAAAGATGCTTTATTGGATGAAAAATACATCAAGAAAATGTAGCCATATTATACATCATAAAATAGGTACCTAATAGAATCATCTTCTTTCCAATACACATGCCAGTTTATATTGTTCCATTACATCTTCCAATATAATGACAAAATTAGCAAAAAAATCAACCTCCAATTTTTTTACAAAGTAGACAAATGCTACAGAATTAATAAGATTGTGTACATACTCATTTCAGAGGTTGACATGTTAACATGTGCACATAAAAAATGTTGCATGCTCTTAAGTTATCCTTATGCTATAGTATATTCTACACAAAAAGCTGCACAAGCTTGATCAATAATAGAATAAGACGAGAACAACAAAACCAAGTTTGCATACCATGTTCCGGAGAAGCATGACGCGTGTCGGTGTACCATTTAGGTTCACACTCTTCATCTTTTTCTCAGATTTGGTCTCACTAGCATTCACAATCACTCCAGCCCGTCTATCTGTCTTCTTTGCCATGAGAGGTGTTGTAATCCCTTGTTCCAGCTTGCCAAGACCCTGTCCTTCCTTCCATCCCATCTTTGCCATCATCCGCTGTGCAGCTGTCATCTGACCTCCTGCACCAACACCCAATCCAGCAGAGCCTGACTTTCCAATACTAAAGCCTTCTCCACTTGGCGGAGGTGAAGGCGATTTTGGCGCTGCACCACCACTCATTGCTGCCCGTCTCATCCATGCTTCCTCACCTGATATGCTCAGCCTAGACTGATAATCCTTTTTTTCCCTCTCCGCAGCCTCACGTTCCCGCTGCTCCCTTTCCCTCTCCCTCTCTTCCTCCTCTCTTCTTCGTCTCTCAACCTCCTTCTTCCTCTCAGCCTCTGCTGCCCGCCTCTTCTTCTCTCTACGATAGTCCTCATAATCATTGGGCCTTGCAGGATCATACTCATCAACCAGAGTTGATGTCACCCCGACTAGGGCGGGTTGAAAAGATGAGATTTTTGTGCCACTACCAGGTAGTGGCGAAGGGGCAATGGAAGTCAAGCTCTTTGATTGGGGAGGTTGAGGGGTTTTGGGTTTGGTTTGTGATTGTTGGTTCTTTAGCACGGAGTGAGGAGAGGGGAGAACGGAAGGGGTCTTCCGGAGTGTGGGCGGAGCCATCTTTGCGCTGCTTGACCATACTGAGTTACTACTTTTCTCCTCCTCCGCTGAATTCTTTGATGACGGCGGAGGGAGATCTCCGTACAAACCCCCAAGCATTACTTGACGTTGTCCGATTCAACCAAGCTTTTGCTTTATTGTAACCTGAAATGACTCTGGCTTGTGAAAGATCGAATAACTGTTCTTCCATTCGGAAAGTAGGAGAAAAGAAAAATGGAGTTCGTAACGAACACGATAAGAAAATGCGCTCACCTCAGACAGGCTGCTGGTTGCCGCAGATTGCTGCCTGTAAGAAACCCTAGCTTTCTGGGACGCTGGCCCTCACGATTGCTCATCTACGAACCATGGTCCGAATCGGCCGCACTAAGAATTTTTGTTTACAGAAATACGGCTAAAAATTTTTCAAGATGAGATTTTTATAGAAATATTTTCTGAACTTTCACAGATGTTTGAATCAAAACTTCAATTTTTTTTCTTTTGGGTGAAAACAAGAACTTGAAATCTGCTTTCCAGCCATCCCCTTTCCAAAAAAAAGCTTGTTGATATTATTTTTATGGGGTAGTTACATACAAACCACACAATTTTTATGTATTTATATATCTCAGATCAAAATTTCATATTTACCCAAACATCACTCAATTTCTTAAAGTCACATAAAAATTAATATTATTGTAATTTTTAAAGTTAAATATATATTTTTATGCATAAGTTTAAAGAACAACTCTTATGTATGTAAACATGAAATTTTTAGTATGAGATATGTAAATGCATAAGAATTGTGTGCTAGGTCCATAAATTTTCCCTTTTTTTAACATTTAGAGTACAATGTGTTAATTATTATTTTTAGATGGGAATAAAATAAAAAGATATGCCTAAGTACTAAAGCAAATTTGATGAGAGCTTTTAATAAGGTTAGAACATATAATATGAGTTTGAGACATGGTTAAAATAAAATAAAAATAAATTTTAAAGCACTTGTCAATGTTAATGCTAGAGTTCTATCATTCTATGTGAATCTTGGTCCAAATTATACTTGAAAAAATTAATTGAATTTTGCTTGAAATAAAGATTTGAATAAGATTCAAATATAATTTAAACTTTTAAGAAAAAGGGTTCAAACGTGTTCGGATTTTATTGGAAGAAGTGTTTGTTGTTTATTTAAGAGCGGAATCTCAAATGAGACTAGATGCTTATTCAAACACGATTTGAGCATTCATGTGGAGACGCATTATATTACTTTAGATTACTTGCTTAGGTAGGGTATGGTATAGAAAATTTTTTTAATTTTAAAAGTTTTAAGTATTAGTAAAAATTTATGAAATGCTCTTTCAAATAGCATTTAATGCTCATAATGTAGAGTTTTTCATGCTCCCTACATATCAAATTTTCTTGAGATAAGTTGGTGATGAAGAGATTGATTGATACTCTATAATGTTCAAGACTAAAGATGAAAATAATAATTTGAAATTCGAGGCGCTGTTCTGATAACTAGTTTAGGCTTTGGTGAACTATCCAATAAACAAAAGTTTTAGAATATTACTAAGGAATGTGGATTGATATTTCATTCTAATTGAGGTAACAAATAGGTTTATCATTAGCACACTTAAAGCACATGAAGGCAGAGTGTGTAGTTGGAAAATTGTTTATTTATCTATGTGTAAAATTATCAAAATTATAAACAAAAATTTGCATATATCTTTTGGTATATATGTAATATATTGGTAAAAATCACAAAATTAATAACAATAAGAAAAGTGAAAGGAGGAAATTTAGCTTTCATTTGCTTTTGAAAAGATTTTCACTCTTTAATAACAACAAACCTCCAATACCTTTCTTTTTAGTGCTCTCGGTCTCACATCCTGTTGAAGTAGGTAGAGCATTATATATGCAATGCAAAAAAAAAGAAAGAAATTTCAATAGGTTGTGAGAAACTAAAATAGAGAAATAACTAATGATTAATAAGAGTTTATCATTATTATATTGTTGACCATAAAACAATAATCTCTGTCATGTTCCAAAAGAGAAAATAATTAATAAAAAGAGAAAAATCAAATAAAAAATGCATAAGTTAAATATATCCGCACAAAATTTGAATTTGGTAATTTGTAAGCATTTGATCAAGACGTCTGATCGATTAATTTCAGTCGGAATTTTATCCACTTCAATAATAGCATCGACAATTACATCTTTTGTAAAATGCAATTTGATGTTGATATAAAACTAATAGTGGGGGAACAACTATGCAAACCCTATAAGAAGTTAAACCCATCGAGACAATAGTACCCAAGCTAGACCTACCCACCAAGATTCACCTTCAATTCACTGTTTAAGAAAAAGAAACCACTATTGGAGGACTTGGTGTTACAAATAGGTAATCAGCTACAAAGGCAAGTTGATGTCATAATAAACATGGAAATTCAAATTGAGAAATAGTTAATTTGTTGAGTAATAGTCCCCAGGAGATGCTCCCAAGTAACACTAAAACGAATTACATAATCTAGCTATGAAGGATAAATACATGACTCAGTATCTAATAGTTGTTTGCAAATTGGTAGATCACATCAATATGACAGGATCCGAATTAGAACAGGAAGATGACATCTTGTATATCCTGAAGGGATTTCCTCCAACATACATTGCATTTTAAAATGCAATTTGGACACACCTACAACCTATTGCCCTTGACTATCTCTACTCGATGCTTTGAAGTGAGGAGATTAACATTAACTCATATTATTCCAAGCAATTCTCCTCATTGGAAACACATCTTGCACTTAATTATGCCAGAGACTGTAACTGTCAATTCTCTCGCAGAAGAGGAAGCAACCGGCAAATGACGTCACAGAGAGGAAGAGGCTATCCACATGAGTCATGGGGAGGAAGAACAGTGAACATATCAAACTTCCCAAATCATACACGTCACAAAATTAGTCAGTCAGCTTCCATCTGTTGGCACAGCACAAATCTAGAGTATACACCTACAACTCAATCACATGCCCTCAATGCAACCTCCAAGGATTTGATTCTCGATTCTAATGTTACCAATCACTTTACATCTGACTTAAATCAGCTTCAACTTGCTACACTGACCAGAGGAAAATATGTTGAGATTTTCATACCTATTTTATACTGTTTTTGATGATATTACACTTTAAAGAAATGTATTTTTGAGATGGCACTTTAAAGAAAGGTATTTTTTATGTTTTATTACAGGAATGATTAATTAGGGTCATTGGAGCAAAAAGATGCTAAAAGGAGCGAATTTGGAGCGAATTAAGACCAAAATATGAAGATTTGAACTAGGGCGCCGATGGACAGGGGGGCGCCGGCCGCGCCATCGACTCGTCGACGACGAGATTTTCCCGAGACTCCAGAATTAATTCATTAAAAAGGTCCGTCGTCGGCACCCTCGAGGGCGCGGACGGCGAGCTTGGCAGTTATGTCAAATCAGGCTTTGGATAAGGCCAAATTTTGAAGGGATGCTTAGGCAACTCTTGGGAAAGCTCATCCACAACTTTAAAAGAATGTTTTGGCCGAAAATTGAAGAGCCGAGAAGTCTGGGAGAGAGTTCTTGGAGGCTAGAAAGGTTTCAATAGTATGTAAAAATTGTGAGGAATTCTTCGAGAGATTTTAAGAGTGGAGGGAAAGTGAGAGATTTCTTCCTCCTTGCTGCTTCGAAGAGGAATTATGTATGTTGTAAAGAAAGGAAGAGATTCAGAGGAATTTTGAGGAGTGTTCTTGGGGAGAAATTAGAGAAGTTATTTACTTATTGTAGTTTGTATGACTTTGATTTTATATATGAGTT